AAAGCGCTGCAGCAAGATGCGCGCTGTGAGTAAGCCCGCGGCGTTGATGAACAGGAAGAGGCCCCAACACTGCTACCAGCGGAACTCCTCGCGTGAACGTTGTGGGGGTGGAGGTGGTTCGGTCGATGCCAACCCCGGCGTGCCTGTTACTTGGAGAATGCCGCTGGCCAGTTTACAGTGTGGTCAGTAATCGACATTCGCCGCATGTGCAGGAGGATCTTGTCGCGGTGCACTGCGCCAGCGGATTTTCCCGTGACGGGGCACGCAGGTGCTGCTCCTTCTGGGTCTGTGGGGTGCACCGATTGGCAAACTGCATTTTGTAGCAAACTCGAGGTGAAGGCAAAACCCAAAAAATATATATAACAAAACGGCAACAGCCCAAACGGAGAGCACATAACGTGTGTTTATTATTATGAAAATAAATTCGCACGTTGTCGTATTCTCTCTCCCTCTCTTTGTTTATTGAAAGAAAGGCATAACGAAAAACCAAAAATTAAAATTAAATATACAAACTTACCCCCAGCCCAGCAGACATGCATCCATCTTTCTGGTTGCCAGAAGAGGGAATGCGACCAGGCGTATTAGTTAATTCATCACATTTGTAAAGACAGGGGGTACGGCTAGGCGTGGGAGCAGGCACGCACCTCTCCAGGGACGAGGCCACCATCGGCCAACTCCACACCGCACGGAGACACGACGGAGACGGAGACGGAGCTCCTCAATTGAACTTTTGGCTCCAATGGGGCCTCCAAGCGGTAGTGCGGTCGTTGTGTCCCCTCACTGCCTGACGAGGGCGAGGACAACCGTGGCGACATTCTGGTTGAGGTTCCAGGCGTTTTCGGTCGAACGGACGACGCGTTGGAGGCCGCCGCAGAACGAACTCTTTGCTCGCAGGCCGCCATTAAGTTTTGGAAACAACCACGCAGTGAGAAGTTCCCTGCACGCCGAACGCAAATCCGCCACGTGATGAAAACAATTCCTGCCACACAGGCGGCACCAAAAGTGCCGAGCAACACGAAGGCGATCATAACCCACACTGGTGTTGATTGACCGCTTCCTTCACTTTGCGCTGCTTCATAAACGAGGGGCGCCACACTCCCTGCCGCAGCCGCAGGAGAAAAAGTTGGGCCAACTGTACAACTCCACAGCCCATGCACGCAAGTCAACAACACCGCAACGAAGTGGCATCCCAGTTAAGCCAGCTGCTGTCAGGGGTATAACAGGCGCCGCTTCTGGCCGCAACGTGGAAAGCATCAACGTGAAGCGACCGTAGGAGCGCACACCGATCTGCACCAACGGCGGTATTCGGAGCCGCTCGCAGCTCTGGTGGCGTCGCACCAGATGGCAGCCTCCAGGCGCAGCGTTGGTGCCCATCCGAAAAGACAGTCGCCGCGCCATACCTCTCTGTGCACTCCGCGTCCGTGAAAGGACGACAGGACAGGTCCTCCAGCTGCTCGGTCTCAGCTGGCCCTGAGGCACTCACGCCTGTGCTGGGAAGGTGATCCAGCGGACACCCAGCGGCAAAAAGCACCTCGGTGCTGTTCGTGCAGGCCCCTAAACCAACGGGCAATGCAAGCAGAAAAAAAACGCAGTCCAAAAAAGGACAGGCATGCTTTTAGTGTCTTCTTCACTTCCTTCACTGTCAAAAACCAACCCGCCGCCACGGCCCTGAAGGCAACAAGCTCAAAAGCACAAAAAAAAAACGACCAACGCAAATGTTACAAGTCACCAACGAGCGGTAGTGCAAAGACCTAGCGAGGCCCACAGGAGCAGCCGTTACCCCGCACAAGAGCAGTTACGACAAGTCGAAGGCACGCACATACGTAAAAGGTAAAATCACAGCGCGTGCGCCACAGACACCGATAATCGAACCTTCTCTGAAGTTCTTGCTGAAATAGTAGAATAAAAAAAAAGAAACTTTGCGCCAAAAGTGAACCGTCATGTTTCACGATTGCAACAAACCTTCCAAAGTAGACGCATTCCAGGCATGTAACAGGAAGAGAATGCAAAAGCAAAGCAACAAACGCTGAGAAGCAGAGTAGGCACATTTCGAACCCCGTAAATAGTCGCAAACAGAACACGGCACGTGGAGTACAAAAAAAAAAAACTTTTGACGCACGTATGCGGAAAGCGCCAACAGGGAATAAACGGTCGTCGGCAAGAGCACCGGCTGAAGTTGGGAGTGGAGAAACGCCGCATGTCTCGCTCCTTGAACCCAGCCATGCCAAGAGATGCTCCCGCGAGCCACACGGCCGTTACCCGGTCAGGAAAAAAACTTATTATTTATATCGGTTTTTTTTCCTGTAGAAAACAGTTAGAAAACAAAAGACGTGCTGCCCCGGCCCTGCCCCCCGCCCCCAGCGACTGAACGGCATCGCG